AATTATATAGTGTGTTTCGCATAGTGATGGGTGAGGATGAACGTGTAAATATATATCGTTTTCGAGTTACAGCCTGTTGAGAAAAAGGGTACCAGTTTTTTCCTGCATGTAAATAAACGGTTATAACTTTGCAATAACACGACATAGAGCGATTGCTTTGCAGACAATTGATTGCTCGCTTCATTATAAAATTTCGATTAAGCTCAACAAAGTCAGAAAAGTTTTTTTTTTTATAAAGTAATAATTTAATTTTACATGTACAGTTAAAAACAAAACAAAATTTTACTATTAAGCCGAATAGTTTTGAAAGAAAAGAGCTGTTACTTTAACAAAACTTTTTTTTTTAGCCTCTTCAAACTCCTGTTGAGGATCATATGGCTTCGAATAAACCACTCCATCTCTCTCTATTTTGGGCGATAGATCTTATTTGTGCCCAAATTTTCTCTGATACGGTTATTTCTTTACCTATCGCTATACGCCACGCGTTCTTGGGCCTACCGATGCTTCGCCTACTTGTTTGGCTATGGACTGCTCTGGCCTCCTCAATATGTGGTGTATATATCTTTATTTCTTCTTTCTGATTTCTATTTCCATCGGGTCCTGCTAGCATAGGTCTCATAGGTCACTATTTCTAGTTCTGTTGGGCCAGAATATTCGACAAATAACGCGGAGGCACTTATTTCTGCAAACCTTTATTTTATTAGTGTCTTTCTTGTTAATGAGCCAGGTTTCACGGCCGTATAGCGTTATAGACTTGACGCAAGCGTTAAAGATCGTTAGTTTAACATTTCTGGACAGTTGCGTAGCCTTCCCTCCATAGTGTAGCAAATGCCGCTCTAGCTTTCTTGAGCTTTTTCTCAATGTCAGCGCCTGCCCCGTCATCTGAACTTAAAATGCTCCCCAGGTATGTCACCGAAATTACATCTTCCATTATTTCACCATCTATTTCAAGTTTTTGATGATTCGTTGCATTTATTCTTATGGTCTTTGTTTTTCGCGTGTTTATGTGTAGGTCAACTTCCATTGCGTAATCTTTTAGCTTGTTCAGTTTTTGCTTCATGTTTTCGTATATGTGTGTAAGTAGGCTTACATCATTCGCATGCTCCAAATCATCCAAAGTATTGAAGATGTTCCAGCTACATTTCTTACTACATTTGTTTTCCTCATGATTTCGTCTATAACTATATTGAAGAGGACTGGCTATAGCTGACAGTCTTGCGTAACTCCCTCGTTGTTGTTATGGGTTCATTTAGCCTTCCTTTGTAGAGAATCTGGGCCTCTGCGTTTTCATACATTGCTTTAATAACTTTGATTATCTTGTAAGGGATTCCCCTCAATTTCAGAGTTCTTCATATTTAAATATTGATTATCTGTGTTTTTGATAATTCTGCTCTAACTTAGTACTGAATACAACTTTGTTCCACACTGCAAATTCTGTCAAAAAAATGTGTTATCAAACACTATATGCTGTATTATTTTTGCAGTGTGTTTCATAACTACAACAGCATGACAACAACACCTCAAAGCTTAGTTTTGATTTTACTGTTGCGGAAACTATTTTGTACTTCAAATAAAAATAATATCGCATTTACACGATTTATTAGAAAAAGTTTCTTTTAAATTTTGTTATTACTTTAACAAAAAATATAAATTTATATTGCAGTGAACTGGAAATAATAAAATATTCAATTTGGTGGTTTCATGTTTGAAATTTTAAAAATCATATGTTAATCTTAGAATCTTCACAACTAGAAAAACCTTTTTTTTATGCTAATGTCAAATTTGAAGTTTTTGTAGCTCCGTTTTTCTGTTGCCTAAGTTTTTTAAATTTTTAGTTAATGCGAAAGCATATTGCATTATCGGCATACAAGAATGCGCAATGTGAAAGGGTTAAATAAATAGAAAGTTACACAGAGGAGAATAATTGTGTTCTCAAAAAACTTTTTTTTTACATTCATTATAAATCGCTGTGTAGGTTGGTTTAGCTTAGCAGGGATGAAAAAAATTCAAACATTTTTTTTCTGTTATTCAATAAGATTATGAAAAATTGAAATACAAATTCGATTTTTATGAATTTACTAATACAAAATTGTAGTTGTGAAATTAATAAGTAATGTGCTTATTACACTAATATTTTAACTTAATGGAAATTTCTTCAAATAGTAGGTTGCGTGTAGCACTCAATGTAAACAAATACTTAGTAATCATGTGGATTACAGTATAAAGCAATGTAAAGAATATTTCGGCGGCAATTTCTTCATACCTCTGTAGCTCAGTTGGTAGAGCGTCCGTGTACCGGTAGGTCACTGGTTCGAGTCCAGTTCGAGGAGAAAAATTTTTTAATTAATTTTTCTGCCTTTAACTCGTTCCTTTGATTACGTCATCCATCTTTTCTGCAGCTGTATCAAGAAATTTCCATTAAGTTAAAATTCCATTTTTTACTTTTTTTAGCAAATAAAAAATTATATTAATATTTTAATTATTAATTATCTTTCATATATCAGATGACATTGATATTTCTGTGGTGCAAAAGTATTATTTTTTTTCTATTCTATAGAACATCTACTTCTTCATCTAACACTATCGTGTGTCAGTATATTTATTTCGGGCCATGTCCTGCAGCTGTCTTCTATTTCTTTCTTAACGTTTTTTTTTTGGCATCAGTTTCTACTTACCCTGAGGATTCTATTCTAGGGACTTCCTTTAAAATTTTTTGGTCTTCCGCGGGAAAGATTCATTGTCATTTTATCTTCTTTATTTTGATCTCGTTGTGATCTTACATATGATCCTGCATATGAATTTAACGTATTTGTTATGACAAGTTTCTCACTTCCATAAAAGAGCACAGAATTAATAAAGGTGTTGAATTTTCGTCGCTTTCAGCGCCTCCTTCCATAGTAATTAAATTACGTAGGCAACAGAATTCAATGACATCTTCTATTTTTGTGTTATTTTTTACCGAGCGTATTGTGTAAACAATAGGTAGGTTATGTGATGGCAACAAATTTTGCATATCGAGTTTTCGGTGGGAACGTACTTCTCCATAGTAGGGAAGTGTAAATAAACTATTTTTAGCAACCTGTCGGTCTGTGTGTGTACGTGTGTATCTCAAGTTCGGCTGAACCGATTTTGATGAAATTTTATATGTAAGTTTATTTCCACCATGGCACGGATTAATCAACTTTTGATATATATCAGGCCTCGGGAACTGCACTTTTTAGTGGGCCTGATTTACATTTTTGAACATTTTGAAGAAGATATTTAACCGATTTACTTGAAATTTTATATATAAGCTCAGCTCGACCGTCCGCGAAAATTACTATGTTTTGGAAGAAATCAGGCATCGGCAACTAGACTTTTACTACGGGCCAAATATACACTTTTGTGTATATAAAGAGAAATAATCAACCGATTTCATTGAAATTTAATATTTGAATTCCTCGTATTAAAACAATGAACATGTAAATTTTTTGGAAAGATCAGGGCTCGAAAACTGATCTGCGGGCCGCTTTTACATTTTTTACCATATCTACGGAACGAATTGATGGAATTTCTTGAAATTTGATATTTCAGTTCTAGTTGTTACGAAAGATATTTGAGTTCTTGTTGTTTAGTTTGTCGGGTAGCACAAAGTGAAACTCTACTAAGAGCCAAATTTACATTTTTCTAGGTATGTTAACTATAAGCTTACTAATGTCCTAAAAATTGGAAAGAAGTATTTAACAGACATTTTTATAATATTTTGTAACACTTTTATTTAACTAGACAATACACAATGCGATCGGTTATGTGCTGACCACATCAGATTTTTTTTTAGTGGAACATTATTTCGGAAATAAAAACGAGAAAAACAAAAAAATTATATCCGACCGACTTATTTGCGTTTATTTGAAGTGTGTTAAAGTGATCGCTCCAACTGTGATCTCTCCTGAATCCCGCCTGTTCCTCTCTTAGACTTCCTATTTTACACTCTCAATTCTGCGGTGTATTATAAGCGTAAGTACTTTTGTAGCTGCGTTGAGTATTTCAATAGTTAAATAATTAAATTACACTACAGTACCGAAAATAATGTGAAAATCGAAAAATTTTAATTAAATTTTTTAATTTTGTTTCAAAAAAAAGAGAAAACCTGTGTATCTAACCCAACATCTTAGCCATGAACTTTGCTGTAATTTCGCAGTCGACAAGTACATAGTTGGTTAGTTTCACCTTATGGATTCTATCTAACTAGTGAATTTGAAATCATTCTCTCCTTCAATTCTTTCTCTTCTTTGTTCAAAAGAGGGCTGACAAAAATTATTAATTATTGTAATTTGTAATAAGATGTCGTGTGTGTTACGAGATTTTAACACCGGGTTTGTAATATAGTCTATGAAAGATAATTAAACAAATAAATATTATAATTTTTTAAAATTAAAAATATAATTAAAGCCTCTATATTTATATGAATGTTTTTCGTTTCCCAAAAAAAAAATTGAAACAACAAAAATTGAAACTGAATTTGAAAACTAAAAAATAAAGTTGTAATATAAAATACTAAATTGTAAATCGAGAAAATATTTAGCAAAATAGATTTTAAATAATTAAATGTGAATTAAATAAAAAAAAATTTTATTTGATTAAAAATAAAAATTTTATTTGATTTGTTTTAATAATAACAAAATAAAAAAAAATCTATATTAAAAAAAATTCATAAAAATTTTTTTTTTTGTTTTTATTTAATTTTTTTTTAATTTAAATTTAGTAATGTTCAATCCTATTATATATATATATATATCATAGTTAAATGAAGAAGAAATAACAAAAAAAAATTTTTTTCATCTGCAAAAACAAAAATAATTATATATAAAATAAATAAAAACATATTTTAATTATAAAATATATAAAAAAATAGCAAAATACATATTATACAATAATATCTATAACTTAAGTATATTATAAAATAAAAATATTATAAATATATTTTAAAAAAAATTATATTATATAATTATGTAATTTAGAATTTAAAAAAAAAGGAAATTAAATGAAAGAAGAGTATATTTTGATGAAGAAAAGAAAACAATTAATAAAATTGAAAAATTAAAAAAAAAATTAATAAAATTTACACACATACTTTTAAAAAAGCAATAAAGCTATATAAAAGTTATATAAAAAAGAACGGTAAAACGTATAAAAGATTCGAAATAATAAAAATACAAAAAAATTAAATGAATAAAAATTTTTATACCAGAAAATAAAAAAAGAAAGAAAAAACCTTAAAACGTTACAAATAAAAATTAAAAAAATTAATTGAAAAATTGCTGTGTAAAACAAAAAATTGAAAATTAAATAAGATATTTTATTAAATTAAATGAAAATATTTTAATAAAAGACCTGTAGTATATTTTTTAAAATTTGAAAATATTATATTTTTTTTTTTTTTTTTATAATTATTAATTATTTTTAATTATTATTATTAAAACAACTTTTTCTTGTTAAGGTAAGTGTTTTCATATTTTGAAATATTTAAATAATTTTTTTATACAAACATATAAATTTAAGATCTTTAAGATTATCTTAAGACGGACCTCTTAACTCCACCGAAAAATTTCTTAAAATATGTACAATGTTTTATATGAAAATTTTGAATTTTTTATTCAATTTCTATATATTTTTAGCGTAATTTGATTAACTCTCTCTTAAAATTGAATTAAATTCAACTTAAATACGTAGCTTTGTCATTTTATACTACAAAAAAGTAGCGTTAAATTTCATTTAAAATTTTAAAATGAAATGACATTTAATATTTTGAAAAAAAATTGGCACTTTTAGACGAGGCGATGAACGTTTATGAAAAAACTTAGAGCGTCTTTAAAAGTAAATCGATCTCCTATTGCGACGTGCCAATGAATTTACCTTCAAGTTAAAAAAAAAATGGGCACTATATTATTTAGTATTCGAACACAATTTCATATAAACATTCTCTATTATGCTTATTTATTAATTTATGTATAAACATATTAATTACTATATTAAAATATAATCAATACAATAAAGCATTTCTTTACCAAAGGTTAGCGGCTCATAATATTTTAGTTTTGATCTACATATATGTATACATAAGGTGTAATCGATAATGTCTAAATGCCGTTCAACAACAATATTATTGCGTCTGATGGTCACCAATCAATCGGTTACAATCATCAATTTATGCTCAAAAAGAAAACTTCTGCATATGAGTTTTCGTATATACGTTCAACATTTGCATACAACCAGGTTTGATAACTGCTTTAACAATCAATTTTTTTTGATTTTTTTTTTTCGAATATAATAATTTATTTAAGTATAATATAAGAGCTTGAGTGCCCAAATTGCCATAACAGGAATGTAGAAGTAACAATGTAACTTTTATACATACGAAATTCAGATTACTATTAAATTACTATTAAATCACTATTAAATTATTTTGAAATTAATAAAAATATTATGCAAGCACATATTACTCAATCCAATATTAAATGTGATAATTACTACATTATCAATATTAATTAACATTTTCAATTTCAAAAGAATAAGAAAATATAACAAGATAAGATAATGTGGATAAGATAATCCCTATAATGAGGAGATAATGTTTTTAGACAAGGGTAGGTAAATTTATACATTGCTCCATTAAAAGCATTCAATTTACTTTCCTCGATTTATTAATATGAGGACTGCCAGTCAAATTTTTATCAAAGATGACACCCTAAAATTTCATTTCATTAATTTTCTTCAAAATTAAATTCAAATTAAAATTGATACAAATATGCAACTTACGTTTCCGTAATCCAAAGTTAATTATTCTAGTTTGAGATTGAACTATCAGGACAGAATCACTTGGGTAAAGAGACTGCAGTCATCTGCGAACAAATATAATTTACCAATCAAAGGTAACCTGTGAATATCGCTAATAAAAATAAGAAACAAAAGAGAACCCATTACATGTGCCTGGAGAACCCTGACAGAAATATCCTGTTGTGAAATAATAGAATTTCTAAACAAAATGTTTCCTTTCTTCAGCTAGTTCCTCATTATATTAATAGAAGAAGACGAAAAATTAAAATACGACAGTTTATTTAATAGTGAATCATGACTAACCGTATCAAATGCTTTAAGTCTATATAAGTTAAGTGATTTAAATATTTCTATAGAATAAAATTTCATTAAATAAAATTAGATACTTATCCTCTAAAAATTCTTCACTTTTCACAAAATAAAAAAATTTAAATTTACTTTTATTAGCAAAAATGTCTAAAAAAATTTTGAACAATGTGACAGCCAATTGACATTATTTAATTATGCGATATTTGTTTTTTTTTCTGCATTATCGTTTATACTAGAAATACCTGTAATGTTATCAAGATTAAAAGTTATAATGCTTTTGTTTGCTGCAATATCGAATAAGATGCAAGAAAAGAATTCAACGCACATTTTATATTATCGATTACACCTATATTTTAAAATGTAATTAGCTCTGGTAGCATATACTGAGTATTAACCAAAACGAATGTGCCGGGTACGAGTTGTGCGTTCAAAATACCGATAAAAATGCACCAGAGCTAAAAATACACCAGTTATTTTAGAATTGAATAAATAAGTTCGTTAAGTATTGCCATTTTATATCGAAGAGTCAAGAGCAAGACGATGTACCGATACAGTTTCATTTCTTAAGAGAAGTGTTGGTTGAATTTGAAAAAATGACATACAATAAGGTAAGTGTTCCTGACTGTAATACTGACACAATTCGCAAAAAATTTTATTTTGACGTGAGATATTTAATATGGGGCATTACAATAAGCCATCGTGGTCCCGATTTTCAAATAATTTAAATATTTAGCAATTGATTTTTTTAAATTTTTTTAATCAAAATAGGTATGTTTTAAATCACGATTTTTCTATTAAAGATGAAAAGAAAAGTTGTATCTAATATTAATTGGCAGATATTTCATATTGTTTAATAAAAATTTGAACAGGGATCAAACTATAATCTGATCATTTTACTGAATACCAGTTTGTAAAGCTAAAATATTTCAAAGCTGTTATGAATTTTTAGCGTCAGAATTCGAATATTAAAAAGAAATTTTTTTAATAATATAAATATAAAATCAATTTTAATTAAATAAATACGAAAATAAGTAATTGAATATTTTGAATATCACGACATTTGAATATCTTTGAAAAATTACTGACACATATGTTAGTAGTAAAAGTAGAATCAAATTGTTAGAAGTAGATCAGGGTGTGTCTGTTACTGACAGAAATAATTATTTGAAAATTCTTATTTTTTTAATGCCTTTACTTCAAATTTCTTATAAAATAAACAACAATAATCGAAATATTTCGTTTTATGTCAATACACTCACATAAACATTAGCTTATGTTAATATAGAAAACATTAAAAACAAAATCTTAAGCAAAAAATATAAGAAATTCTCCACTGCAAGCAACTTTTCCTATTTCTATTAAATCAAAACAAATTTATTCTCAATTTTTTGGAGTTATTTCAAAACTGAATAAAAAAGAGTATTGCCATAATTTAAATTAATTTAGAAATAACAAATATATATATAAATATGTTGTATAGAGAAATTCTCTTAATGATTAAAAATAAACCTCGTAAATGTATGTCAGTATTAGCGCCACTGTTACTATTGGGAACACTTACCTTATGTCATAATTTACGTGTTGTATCCAACGTCGAGTTTTTTTATAACGTCCAAAACTGGTCACAACTTTTTAAACTGATTTATTTTAAAATTACTTCACTTAATATTGGCGAGTTTTATGTTTTTTAATAATATTGAGATTTCATGTAAAATTTTATTTTAATAAAAATTAAAGTTCGAAAGCTAGCGTCCCTTTTATATCTAAACAAAAGAAGTTTTATACCAATTTTTTAATTAATTAATTTTCTTTTTCTATTTTCAGAATTTTTCTATAAATTTAAAATTTTTTTCACATTTCATTTTTTAATAATATTTTAATAATAAATAATACATACAATAAATTTATTTTATAAAAAAATACTTAAACTAATTAAAAATAAAAATTAAAATTGACAATTAATTTTTAAATTAAACATAAAAGAAAAAGCAGTACACCAATCCCAGTATAACTGTTAAATTAATTAAGACTCTCTTATTTGTTAGAAAGAAAAATCTCTCTCGTTAAATTTGAACAAAAAAAAAAAATAATTTAGAACAAATAAAAAATACAAAGTTAATAAAAAAAAAACTTTTGGATATTTTGAGAAAAACTGCAAAATTTTAAGAAAAACAATAAAGAAAAAAAATCGAATTGAAAAGGGAAAGATAGGAGAGAAAAACAACCCAACAAACGAAGATAAAAAAAATTCAATAGAAAAACAAACAAGAATAGAAAAAAAAATAGAGACAAAAACAAGTGCGTGCAAGTGAAAAAAAATTTACTGTTGATTATTTTGTTTTTTAATTTTTTGTTTTTTTTTTTTTTATTTTGAATTTTTTTAAAAAAATAGTTTGATACATAATTTTTTTTTCCCGCCTTTCGTTAAAAATATAAAGACAAGAACAATAAGAACAAAAAAAAAGAAAGAGGAAAAAAAACTTTCGTATCCCTTTTTATTATTACTTTTGTTTTTTTTTCCTGCTGGGATTTAAATTAACGGTAAAGACACACTGTATCCATCAGTATTTGGATTATTAGGTAAGTGTAATATAAAATATTAGTATGTAAGTATATACAATGAAGCTTCCACAACTCGAACCTCTACAACTCGAAAATCTTCTTACCATGAAACCATCATATGAGTCCCCCTGAATATTGGTATAACTTTGTTTATAAAAATTATTCTATAATTCGAATTTCTCCTTAACTCGAAACCCGAACCTGTCAAGAAATTTCACTAAAACTTCAGAGATATATCTGACCTATAATTGGACACATGACTGCAAAGTTTCATGAATCTGACTTTATTATTTTTCCAAATATTTAAAATTAGCTTCTGGAGTTGTATGGCAGGTACCCGAACCTGTCAAAAAATTTCACTAAAACTTCAGAGATATATCTGACCTACAATTGGACACACAACTGCCAAGTTTCATGTATCTGACTTTATTATTTTGGCGAATATAAAAAATTTGTTTTTGAAGTTATATGGCAGGTACCCGAACCTGTAAAGAAATTCCACTAAAACTTTAGAAACGTATCTGACCAATAACTGGACACACAACTGCCAAATTTCATGAATCCGACTTTATTGTTTTTCCAAATATTTAAAATTAGGTTCTGGAGTTGTACAGCAGGTACCCGAACCTGTCAAGAATTTCCACTAAAACTTCAGAAATATGGGTGAAAATTTAAAAGTTAGCACATTTGCGTCACAAAAATGTACTCTTAAATAAATACTTTTTTAGAAAATAAATCAGACTATAATTAATAAAATAAAAATTATAAAATCTTTAATTTTAAATTAAAAAAATTTTTAAATTGTAAAAGTAAGTATTTTTGGAAAATTTTGGATAATTGTCGGAGCGCGTTTTCTGTTTTCATATAAATGAAACTTGTCACAGACCACATTTTTAATTTTCAATTTAAATTTTCATGAACTTCCTCCACAGAAGGATATATTTTAAATTACATTGCAAAATTATTTCATTATTTTTAAACAAAAATCAAAAATTAGTTTTTAAGTTTTAATTTATTTTAATGTCATTTCAACAGAAAAAAAGTGTGTTACAAGAATTGTTCAACTGCGTTACTTCAACTATGTTACATCATAAAACTTCTTAAAATTAATAATTTTTTTAAATATTTTGGCATCATTATTTGTTTTAAAGAATACGCAATAAGTCTATTCGGGTATGTGGTGAATGTTGTTCCAAACACATCGGTGGAGATAGTTTGAATTTTTTTTGCCGTGAATGTAAAACGCTTTTTTCAACTGTGTTATGTGTTTTTTTTTTAAATATTTTTTTTTAAAAATTCAAAAAAATGGCATATTATTAAGCAAACCAAGTAAACTAACCAACTGTATACTATAAAATGCAAAAATATGTTGGAGTTTTATATTAATACCCTTTTTATTTTAAAATATTCTACTGCGTTACTGTTCAACTGTGTTACTAAATTTAAGTAACGCTACTGAGGACATGATAACAAAGTTGATTTTTAAGGCAGTTTACTCTAAGTTGGTGAACAAATTCTTAATAATTTTACATACAAATAGGCGATAACATGTTTTATTGATTATTAGACAAAATGCCGCTATCTATTTTATATTTTAAATATGTAAATATGTAAATATGTATTGTTAAAAATGCAAATGAAAAACTTAACCGAATATATACAACTTCATCGAGAGGAAAAAAGTTAATATCTTAGCATATTCCACAACAGCAGGAAATTTACTGTTTTTGCTTCAATTTTTTTTGTTAATATACTGAAGACTGAATCAAATATTTCAACAGTGTTACTATATTTTCCACTGCGTTACTGTTTTGTCACAAAAAAAAATATTGTTTTAAACTTTTTTCTTCTAATTTAAGCTCTTAATTTTTTTGTTATGGACATTTTTAGAATAAAAAATTAATTTTTAAAGCAGTTATGTAAAAATTCCTGCAAGAAAAAAACTATTAAATAGTTTTATTTTAAAAATAAAAACTTTAAATTTAAAATAAGTAACAAAGTTGAAATAACTTATAATTTATTTTTTTATAAAAATGATTTTTCAATATTACAGAATAAATTTATTTATAACTTTAATTACAAATGAGAGTAAAATATGAAAATAATAATTTCCATTGAAGAGATCAAAAAATTTAAGCTATTTTTATCGGTAACGTAGTTGAACTAAATTCAAACCTGAGCTTACTTTTTTGGTTATAATTTCTAAAATATTTACAAAACCTCCGGACCACTTGAGGAAATTGTACATAATATAATAGGCAACTATAAAAAAATAATTTTAATAAAAATTTCTAAAAAAATAATTTGAAAAAAAAAAAATTAATTTGTGCCAACTTTTAAATTTTGACCCATATATCTGACCTATAACTGGACACACAACTGCCAAGTTTCATGAATCTGAATTTATTATTTTTTCAAATATTTAAAATTAGCTTCTGCAGTTGTATGGCAGGTACCCGAACCTGTCAAGAAATTCCACTAAAACTTCAGAAATATATCTGAATTAGAATTGGACACATGACTGCCAAGTTTCATGAATCTGACTTTATTATTGTGCTGAATATAAAAAATTTGCTTTTGGAGTTTTATGGCAGTCACCAGAGCCGGTGAAGCTGTTCCATTAAAATTTTTAGAGCATGTGTAGAATATAATTTTTTTATTTTTTGAAATATGTATAATAAACTTTTTGACTTGTATGGCAGCTACCCGAGCCCGTTGTCCAAATTAGTCCAATTATAATAGGGTTTGTCGTTGGCACAAAAGAAACAACTTGTGAAAGTTAGGTGTCGTTTGCATCATTCGTTTTTGAGTTTTCGTGAGATCCGACGGACGGACGGGCGGACGGACATGTCTAAATCAACGCAGAATTTTACGCTGAGCAAGAATATATATTTATGTCCATACCACAGATGACTCCTTCAATTAGTTACAAACTCCATACCAAAGTTAATATACCCTTCACGAAGTGCGGGGTATGAAAAGGTTCAAAAATTTTTAGTTTATATATACCTACCACGGTAAGGTGAAAAAATCTCGAAGAAGTACGGCGCTCCCTGCCCTTTACCGTTGTAGGGGGGGGGGGGGGGAGCCCTACCATAAAAAATCAGCTAAATTCTGAACGGATGAAACTGATCATACAGATCAACTATTACCTTTGCGCTAACTTAGTCTTTTCGTAGAGTAATTAAATAGCTTCCATAAGGAAATAGGTGTTTTGTTTTAAATCGAAAGGTCGTGTTCGTTTAAGTCTTTCTGTCATAACGCCATTGTCTAGCAGCCAGGCTGCTTCTATGTTTACATGCTGTTCTAGGCAAGCCCTATGCTTTGTAGCATGATTCCTTATTTCATCTATAACCAAAGCAATTCCTAAGTCCCTGTGGATGTCACTCATACGCATATACCATGGCGCATTTACCATGCCCAACAGAAGTTTATTCTGGAAGGTTTTATTTTGTTAATGTGAATCTTCTTGGCTCAACCCCACAGTTGAATGCCATATAGCCATATTGGGTTAAGGATTTGGTTATAAAACAATATTTTATTTTCAATTGCCGAATTGGACTTACCACCTAGGAGCCAATAATTTTCTCTATATTTATTTTCTAATTCTATGTGTTTCTTCTTTATATGCTCTTTTCATCTGAGCTTGACATCTAAAGTCATTCCTAGGTATTTTGCTGAGTTGTGGATTTCTACGTTCGTTCCATTTAAGTTAATTTGTGGTGGATTCACTATTTTTCGATTGATGAAGTTTGTGTGAAGGGATTTTGCTTCATCCAACTTCATTTTCCAATCTTTCTTCTACTTGTTACTTGCCTCCTGTAATTTTTTTGTCGAATCGTCAATGTTCGACCTGCTGCCAATATTGCAATATTGTCAACAAAAGTAACTACAGCAACATTTTCTATTTGTGGTAGATTACTCGTGTAAAACAAGTACAACATTAGGCCCAATATACTGCCTTGCCCAATATATACCTGCTCTTATTCCTCTAAGTGTGGAGTATTCAGCGTCTTGTTTAATTTTAAATAATCTATCAGCTAAGTAAAATTCCAAAATTGCTACAAATAGTGATGGTATCATTTGTCCTAACTTAAGTATAAGGTCTTTATGCCATACCTAGTCGAATGCCTGTGCTACGTCTAGAAATATAGAAGAGCAGATTTCTTTATTTTCTACAATATTCTATTGTAGAATGGTTTTTTCTAAATCCGAACGGATTTTCAATTATTGGCTTTAACCTCCTTAATAGCAGTTTTCAAAAAACTTAGACAGCATTGGTATCAGTGAAATGGACCTGTAAGACTTTACTTCCCTCAAGGATTTCCCGGGTTTGGACACCATAATTACTTCTGCTACTTTCTTAGCACAAGGAATATACTCAAAATCTATAGCTGCATTCATAATTTTCATCAAATGTTTCAATGCCTCTTCTGGTAGCTCTCTATACTTCCGCAGTAATAAGATCAAAACCTGGGGTTTTTTTCAACTTCTTCAAAGGGATCTTATATCTTCCGCAATTTCTGAATGAGTAATTGGTGCTATGCTTCTTGCTTCATTTGCGATTAATTCTACCAAACTCGCATCTGATGTTATTCCGTTTGGTGTGAATATCCTTTCTAAGTGCTCAGTAAATAATTCGGCTTCGTCTATGTTGCTACTCGCCCAACTGCCATTGGCCTTTATTACTCGCGGAGTGTGCTTAATCGGTCTCTTTTTGCTCTTTGCCGCCTTCCATAAGGAATAATTCGTTTCCTTCGTAGCTGACAAGTTCTTTATATAATTTTCATATGTTGCCGATTTAAATTCTTATGTTTATTTTTTAAACACCTGGGAAAGTTTGTTTAAAACAGTTTTATCATCAGGGTAACGCGAACGTTGCCATCTACGTCTGACCCTTCTCTTTTTACCTGTTAAATCCGTTATTTCTTTAGGATAGCTATTTGCTGTAGGTTTCTACTTTGATATTTTTTGTATTGTTCCATGCAGCTTTTTGTATGATTTCAATAAATTCTTCT